GTGGCGAGTATCTACCCCCACGTATCATTCACTTTTCGAGTTGTTGAGAGAAAAATTCAGAAAACCCTAAAAAGATCGAAGCTGCGACTTTGACAGAAGAACCTAAGCTTTCATGTGCTTGTGGATCTTATCAAGTGTTATTAAAGCTCCGGTTCAAATCACTGGACAGGAGAAGAAGATTACAAGCTTTCTGCAAGCTCTGACAATGGCTGAAGAGTTATGGCAAGGTAATCTGTTCTATACTTGTTGTTTGATTAAAGAGAAGTTGAGTTTTGTGCGGGTAGATGGAGGGATCAAATCAAATTTGATCAGCGCATGAACAGTGGAGATATTGGGGCTACCAACACATTTCCATCCCGCCATATTCTATGCACCTTCCTGGCGAACAGATTCCAAGCGTCGAGTATACACAGACTCATGTGAAATTCAGCATTGGAGGCTAAGAAGAAGAGGTCTTGTGTGACGTGGTGTACAAGCTTACAAATCATCTTAGCTTGGACAAACATATTTCCAAGATCATGGAGTTCATCTGGTCAGCAAAAGGTCCAAAAGCTTCCGATTGACGCATCAGAAGAAGGTATTCATTTTGAAGCCTTTATCCCCGAGGAAGTTGCTGATGATTTGAAGGCCTTGCAACATTTATGGCGGTAATATGAAGAAGACCAGATAGCCAAATATTCGTTGCTATCCGTAGCAACCAAAGGAACAGCAGGTAGAGCACAAGAGGTTGCCGAAGGAAGGACACAACTGCCACAAGCTTAGGAGGAGCAGAAGATCGAGGAAGTAAGAACACTTTCACATCAGGAGGCAACCGAAAAAGAGAAGTTTTCGATCAATTCCCCAGATCAAAAGTCGGTATAAGAGGTGGCAATAAAGGAAAGTGATGAAGGTGAAGTGGTTGAGATAGAACGAATTGAATCAAGCTATCATAATCCTTTTGTTTTGATTCTGATCAGGATTTGAGGTGTACAAGCCTGCAAGCTTTGAGGACAAAGCTTTTTGAAGGGGGAGGGACTGATGTGATCCTGGGTGATGACCCAAAATCATTCCCATTGATGTTCAAAGAAGAAACCAAGTCAAAGGAAGAAGAAGCTGGAAATCTAGCTAAGTCTGGGAATCAGTTCGTGGTACCTACTTTGGAGGCTTACTCCTTTTGTTTGGGAGACATTCGAGGAAAGGTAGGAGATGGAGATGAAAGTAGAAGTGTTTATAAGCATCGTGAAAGTGTTAGATGATTGATTTGAAGCTTCCTGGATACCAAACGAGCTTCCTGAAGATCGTATGGTGACCAGTTGAAAATCCACCGTCTAGAAGCTAAAATCCACGACCTTGGAATTGAAGTACACACAGTGGATTTTGATTAGAACAATTTCACACCCAAGACACCAAAATTCACGACCATGGATTTGAGGAAGAGATCGTGAAATTTGACCTGACGAGTTTTGTTACCTTTTTCATTTAGAATTCTTTTCCTTTTTGGTGTTTTCATTAGGTTTACTTTTTCATACCTATTTAACGAGTTGTAAGCCACAAATTTGGGTAGAGGATATAGAGATTTTTGTTGAATGAAAATTAACTCTGAGGAGTTTTCCGCATAGAGCATGAGTGTTTATGGTTCATTGCTTTAGGTATCTGTGGATTCCATAGTTAGAGCAAGATCTTTGTTCGAGTTTTTCTGTTGAGGATTCCAGAAGATCTTAGCAAGAATCTTATCAATCAAGTGATCACACTTGACTGTGGCAAGTATCTACTCCCACGTATCCTTTACTTTTCGAGTTGTTGAGAGAAAATTCAGAAAACCCTTAAAAAGATCAAAGTTGCGCGACTTTGACAAAGAACCTAAACTTTCACGAGTTTGGGATCTTACCAGCTGGTAGTGATGGAAGCGAGGGCTCTGAGATAGTAGTTGTCGGTTTGTGACGGTGGAAATTGTTTACGAGAGCTAGAAATTTGAAGCTTAGCAAACCTTGCCTTGCTTGTTGCTCGATAGCTTCAAACTCGCACAATTCATCTTAAACGAACCCTAGAAGGACTGTTTTGGTTGAACCTCAACGTTATAGGAGGGGAAGTCGAGTCAGAATTTGCCGCGGCGGAGATGGAGGGCTTTTATGGTTGCAGAGAGTTGAGAGGTTTTGAAGTTAACTGAAAAAAGTATATACATATATAAATAAACAAGTTAATTGTGTAAGTTGGTGGGAGGGTAAATTAGACATTTTGACTCACTCCTATTAGCTAGTTAACAGAAAACTTGATGGAAGGGTAGATTTGTGTTGTTATGGACTTATGGTTGAAGGGCATGAAAGTTCAAAAATCTATTAGAGAGGTATATTTGTTAACTTACAAAAGTAAAGGGCTACAAAATGCTATTAACCCATAATATAAATCGGAAGAGAACATACATTATTGATATTTTATCAATTGCAAATCCTACTTGACACTCAATATGCAAGGAGTGAGATATGATCACTTCCTCTAAGGGGGTTGTGAGATTCACAACGAAGGGCATTTTGGGTATGAAAAAATAAATTTATTTATTAATTATTTTCATATTAATAATACATTAGGAATTAAAAATCCATATTAAATACATGTTTAAAAAAAATTAAACCCTACAATTAATACACTTATAACTTTCTCTATCTCTCTCTTGTTTTCCAGCCTCTCCGCTCCGACCGCCAACATTTCTCCGACTAGCAGATTTTTTCGGTGAAATCCTTCAATCAGACTCACTCCGGGAACCTGCAAAAAAGTAGCACTTCGTCAGTATGCTAGTGGCAGTGATTTTCGTCTAGTGGTACCGCTACCAGATTTGGAATATGAAAAATCACAGATCTGAAAAAAAAAAGCAGAGGATTGGGAAAGGGAAAGGGAGGGGAGAGACGGTGACCTCGCGGCGGCACCGTGAAGACGGGAGGTGGTGGGAGGCGGAGGAATGGGAGGCAGAGGCAGTGGTGGAGTAAAGATGGCGGCAGGCGCGGTAGGGGCAACGAGGGCAGCGTGGTGCGGCAAGGGCGATTGGGGCAGCATGGCCCTGCTAGGGGCGGCGGGGACAGCGTCAGCGCGAGGACAACGGGAGGAAGGCGGCGACGACAACGGTGTTGGAGGTCGGTGATGGAGCTCTTTGGCTGCTAGGGTTTTTTGTTAGAGATAGGCGAGAGGGGAAGAGGAGGGAGAAGAAGGGATTGGAGAGAAGGGGTCTGGTTTTTTTTCTTTCTTGTTGCTAATGAAGAGTATTTAGATGGAAAATGGAAAGGATCTCATGTGGTAAGTTTTTCATTCCGAAATTGCCTATAGATTATTACATACTATTAATTTAAAAACAGGAAGAAAGAGAAATAATGGAAGGTTAGGATATGAGTTGCCATTTTCACAAGCCTTAAAAGGAATGTGACGGTATCGCACCCCAATATGCAATTGTAAAAAAATCGCTAATACGCACTTAAAAATATAGAAACTTGCATTAAATGAAAGTGAAGATAAGTCACATAGTAAATTAAAAAAAAACTATATTTTTTCTCCCTTAATTGATGTGGAGATAGCTAGGCATACGTGGGAAGGGTGGAATTGTTAGTTGTTCATTTGAGGATAGGAGAATGTGAAAGAGAGGATGTGGTTGGTGAGATAGATTTGATCTATTAGACGGATTACTCTATAAAGACGACACATGGAATTGAAGAGAAGGATCTCAACTTTTAAGGATGGTTTCTTGTTCTTCATTTTCTCTCGCTATAAGTTGATCAACTTATTCTTAATTTAGTGGTCACATAACCATTTGTACTGGTCCACTTTTATGTATTTTCGTTTTTAACTCCTTATAAAAAATATTTTCGTTTTTAATATCTGAAATCACAGTTGTACTGTTTTTTAGTGAAGTCAACATGTTTGCATTGCCGTCTAAGCACATTTATTAAAGAAAGAGTAAAAGTATAATAAATATATAAATAGAAATCCACATTTATAATGTATACCAGATTGTAATTTTTGTGATATTTTTATCAATCAATACAATACAAAATTATCTTTCGTGAAAAAAAAATTATTTGAGTCTTGCTTCAATCTAATATGATATTATATTCTGGGTTGATGTTATCAATTCTTATTCCATTTTTTCTTTACGAAGTTTGATCATCCAATTCATAACTAATTATTCCGATGAGAAATTCAAAACATATCACTGTCTGATGGTGTAGGCGACCGACAATGGAACGAAGTCAAATTTACTGTTTCCATCTCTTTAACCAGGTCTGCATCTCCAAAGAAAATGAAAGTGAAACGTCAGCTGAAACATAGCAGGAAGGAAAGATCACGAAGAAGAAGAAGAAAACAGGTTCCAACTTAAATGGGAGCTATGGCCTCCCTCTCCCGCGATATAAGATTAAAGAAAATATAGTCCTGCAGGCTCTGCACCCGCACAAATCAGCACAAAAAGGGGGAAAGAATTATATTACAGTAAAGAAGGGCATCAATTCAAGACAATGGAGAACCAGAATCTTAAAGAAAAGGAGAGCTCAAACGATGCTGCTGGCCTGCTGCTGCTTCATTTTCAAGTTTCGTTCTGAATCCTCTGTTACTTTTGTCTAGACTCCCTTTTGGCCCATTCTCCCCTGTTTCTGGCCATGCCCGTTTGATCGCAGCCTTAGCCTTAATTTTGGCGCCAACTCAAAACTCAGCCAGGCAGAGGCCAGCACATAGAAATGGAACCAGAGAGAAGAACTGAAACAACACAAAACAAAAGCGAAAAAACCAACCCTTTTAACCAAAAAAGAAAAAGTAACTGATCAAAGCTTCTTCTTCACAATCGAAGGAACCCAATAAAGTAGAACTCCTCCTTATACATAAACGCGATGAAAGTATGGAACTTTTTGTAACTTTTCACTTGTAGTGCATAACAGGCACGCCAGAGTTCTTATCCCACAGTCCTCCTTCCTTCACATACTCGATGTACCTAGCGAACTCCGGCCTCGAAGTGGTCCTCTTGCTCTGGCGCCGTCGATCGAAGAGGCTGAAAAGTGGGTGGCTTTTGTTAACCTTCATCGCCGGTTTCACAGCCGGGACTGATGTCAAGCTCTGCTCCGCGGCCACCTTCTGACCTCTATCGGAACCTGGAAATCGAATTGGCATGGTGTTGGTCCTTTTAAGCTCATAATCACTGTCTCCTCCCAGAAGATCGGATGAAGAAGGTTCAGGATTGTCAGCTAGTTTTTCATACTTGCTGTGGCTTCTGCGGGTGCTCAATGTTCTCAACATGGTTGAAGGGTAATTGGTGGTTGGAATTGAAGTTGGGGAAAGGAGTGATTGTGGTTTCTTTGTTTTTTGATTTGGTGGAGAATTGATGGGTTGTGTTATGCTTTAACCTTCTGAGTGGGAAAACATGTTCTTATATGTGCAGAGGGCAAGAGAGATGATGGTTATGGTAGTAGGTGAAGAATCGGCCAGCAGAAGGGAAACTGCAGAGCAAGAAGGGAGTTTGTTAAACTTGGTCAGCAGCTGTGTCATTGTTTTTATTTTATTTTATATAAGCTGTGTCATTGTTATTGTATCCTTCTTCCTAGGTGTATTTTGGATCTTGTGGCTAGGATCGATATAGGAATTTGGTTAATTTGGGTCACTTTCAGTGAGGGCATATACAATTGTTTGTTAGTTAAAGCTTCATATTTTATCTTTGTGAATCTAACCAGTTGGACTTGGTATTTACTCATAGGTATGTTTGATTTGGTCCTAGTTAGTTATGTCTAATCTCATCTATGCCAAAAAAGAAATTAACTCATATACATTGATTCCAATTAAGTGGAAAGATTTTATGATGGTAACTAGTTGTTTGATGATAATTGATAATAGGTTAAGGATGTGAAAATTGATTATTTGAAAAATAAATTGTTATGTTGTATGAGATTCGAAGATGTTGATTAAAATGTGAGTTGGATTTCGAGTAGAATGTTTTGATAATTGAAGAGGTATATAGTTCTTTTTCATATGGTCTAAGAGTATCCACGTTGGGATTGCATTTTAAATTCTAAGATGCATATTTGTAAGCTTGCAAGTTGCAACAATGCAATTGCATATGCAAGTCAAGAAGGGCTAAATTTAATTATTGTGTAGTTGTTGCTTGATGTGTGTAACACCCTCACCTGGCCAAGTACTACTTTTACCAAAATGCTCTTAATAAATTATAAACGTTAAATACGTGGGAGACAACGGAAGCATCGTGTAGAAAGAAACCAACATGAAAATTTAAAACATCACTGTGACGTGAATCATTTGACAAAAATCAAAAGCCTTCATAAAACTACATCAAGTCTTAGTCCCATCAGTTATCAAACTTATCTAACTGCATACTGGAGTCCCTGAAATCGCCGATCTTTAGATATACTGACGACTTTCTGAGCGTACTTCTTGAGCTTTTACAATTCCTGAATGCGGGCATGGGATCTGTCCTAATCCTAATTTCGCTATCATACCTAAACATATATGCATGCACATGCAATGCTTTTGCTACGCTATTGGTAGATTAGTAGAAGTATATTATCATTAACATATTCTTACTTTTAGTATCTTCTTCTTACTTAACTTGAAATGGTATCTACTAAAATTCGTGGCTTACAATCCTTTAAATAGGTATGAAAAATAAACCTAATGAAAATACCAAAGGAAAATAATTTTAAATGAAAAGGTTAAAAAAAATCCTTCCGGGGGTACTCCTGTTGGGGATTCTCCTATTATGGCCGGGCTTTACTGATGGTGAGGAATAACATCAACTTAGGCGGTGTATCACAATGGACCGAGCCACCGAGGAAACTGTGGGACGCGCCGCTGGTTGATGTGAAGTGCCCAGTTGAGCTGAGATTGTGGCAGACGATCGAGCAGAGCGGGCCAGGACGGGGGAAGTAGTGGGTCAAGCTAGAGCCAGACTCCAAGCTAAGGTATGAGGTGAAATAGTCAGCAAGAAGCCATGTTACGGGCTAGGACTTGACGACCCCGTCGGTATGTGCAAAAGAATGGGGTTGCGTTAACAGTAACTGTTGGGTCTAGGCTGGAAGGGAGTGATGGTCTAGGAAGAGAGGGTGGTCCAAAATTATTTTTGGAAACAACACAGTCAAATTGCGGCGTAAGGCCAAGAAAGTTACCTAATGTTTTGGGTTCTTGTATGCAATTGCTAGAACGGGAAGACAGTGCGCTTGAAATCGTCGAAACTTGTTTCAACCGGGACACGAAGATTGGACACTCTGAAATGAAATTTTAGCTTTTGATCACCACAAAGAAGGAAGACGAGTGGACAAAGCAGTAAACCTTGAAGATAGTGTTGGTCTCAAAGGAAGGGTATGGTAGAAATCTGCGGTTTCTGTTACTACTATATAGTTATCAGACAAAATACACCTGTATAGTCATAACTATTGACATCGTGATATAGCCAATTTTTTAGAAATACACAAAATGTCCAATTTCGTCCAAAATATTAACGGAGTCATTTTAGTTGTCGACTGGACTAACATTTTGCTTACGTGGCGACAATAATTTTTTTTTTAATGAAACACTTAAGAAAAAATATTGCCATGTGAAATTAACTAAATTCACTTGCATAGCCATAACTATCGACTTTGTGACAATAATAGCAAATTTCCGAGAAATACACAAAGTGTCCAGATTTTGAAACATGTTTGACAAATTTAACCACTTCCGTTAAAAACTTTAACATCATTAAAGATTATATCAGTTGCATTAACAAGATGCTGACGAGGATCTCACCTTGACGCACAGGTAAGCGACAACTCGACATGTCAAGTAAGCAAAAAACGTTAAGTTCAGTCAGCATCTAAAATGACTTCGTTAAAGTTTTAGACGAAATTGGACATTCTGTGTATTTATGAGAAATTGACAATTATTTTCACAAAGTCGATAGTTTTGGCTATACTGTATTATGTCATTAAAGTATGACGTGGTATCCTCGTCAACATCTTGTTGATGCAACTGGCGGAATCTCTAACGACGCAAAAGTTTTTAAGGAAAGTGGCTAAATTTGTCAAACATGTTTCTAAAATCTGGAGATTTTGTGTATTTCTCAGAAATTGACTATTATTGTTACAAAATCGATAATTATGATTATACAAGTGAATTTTGCCTAGTTATTATTAGAATTTTAGCTATGTTAGTAGTGTTCAGGTAGAACAAGATAATTTATCAAGCATATTTCAGTGTTTTCATATATATTGTTATAAACGCGCTGCTACGGATCGGGAAATCGCCGGAATCGACAAAGCAAGAATACGAAAGCGAGAATCGAAAGAACACAGACACACGATTTACGTGGTTCACTAACACGATGTGTGTTAGCTAGTCCACGGGCGAGAGAGAGCCAGTTTCACTATATCTGAGGAGATTACAGATTACAGAGGAGTATGAGAAGTATTTATAGTACTTCTCCATGTGGGTCTAAACCTAATCCAATCTAGCAAAGGAAACGGTTACAGACCAGGCCCAGAACCCGAACCCAAATAAACATTGAGCTCATACACCGTGGGCCGGGGCGTTGCCCCCGCACCCCCACCGGGGCGTTGCCCCTGGACCCCACTCGCTGACCGGGCAGCGAGACCCCCCGGTTAAAATAAGAAAAATAGTTTTTTCCCTTATTTTTGCTAGTGCACGAAAAAAGTGGGGAGAGATGAGATTTTGTTTTTTTGAAAATGGGAGAGAGATGAGATTAGAGGGAATAAAATAATATAAAAGATGTTCAATTTTTTTAATTATATACAGTTTTTACGACATGTTACTTGATTTTATATCTTTCGAATATCATTTATTTTCATAATCAATATGCAACCCTTTACGATTATGTATTTTATTATGTACTCTAAATTAAGGTATTGTATTGGATTGTTTTGAGTTTTTTTTTTCAAAATTTAAGTACACTGCTTCTCATGGGATAATTATTTTTTATGGTTAAAGTAATATAGCTAAAAATTGACAATTCAGTACTAATTCACCCAAAAATATGGCTACAAATTAATTTTTTTGATAAAAAAAGTTTTGTTTGATGTTAGTATTTAATTAACAAGATGTTGTGGTAGAAACTCAAAAATGTTACCGGGTACAGAGTCTGGTTATAGTTAATATAGCTGATTTAAAAGCTATAAATACCACTAATAAAGAATTAAAAGAGATGAGGGCGGTGTTGATAATCACTTTTTTTACTATCTTAACTTTTGTTTATTTCATTTTTATTTTAGCTATACTCTTAGTTAAGACCACCTTCTTTTTGGAGTGGTTCCTATTCTCGGTTAAGATATAGTTTTTATAATTTTTATTGATTTTCAATAATTCTAAATGTGTTTACAAAAATGATTAATTAAGATTTTTATCTATTTATCCATTTATAACAGTATATTGGTACAATTCATTCTTTTGATTTTAGAATTGAGGGTAAATAATTTAGTAATCGACTATTTTTGTATGAGTAAAACAATAGCAAGTTGATCTTTGTTGATTTAATGCTTAATGGATAATTCATAAAGTTAGAAAAATGAAAGCACATAAAAGTAAAAAAAATGAAAGGGTGGTCTTTTTCTGTTCACATTTTCTGTTTATGAATTAGTTTAGACTAAACTAATGTAACATTATTCAACGAGGAAGAAATTTTTTAAAAACAAAATGAAAGAAAAGAGCATAAATTTGAGTTGCATACGCATATTCTTTGCTATGTAACCTATACTCATAATTTTTGAATTCAAAGAGATCAAATGATACAGATTATGAGAAGCTTTGTATATTTCCTTTTTTCACAGAAGTGATAAGAATATCATGACACTAAATACATACAAAAAGAGTTTCGATGATGATATAAATATCATGATAAACCTGCTCATACTGTGTCCAAACTTTGGATAATTTTTCCCCCCGGTAATTAGCAGTTTTCCATTAAACGCACTCTCTTGGCCAAACTCAGCACAAGAGTTTGAAAAATACAAAGGCCTATAGTTTTATTAAATTATAAACTCAAATATTCCGGGCACATGCTAGTAATAATAATAATAAAGAAAAAACACATATATTTACGTGGTTCACTAACATAACGTGTGTAGACTAGTTTGCGGATGTGAGAGAGCCAACTTCACTATATTTGAGAAGATTACAGAGGGTTAAGAAGTATACATAGCACTTCTCCATACCATACGGCCTAACCTTAATCCAATAATAAAAAATAAGGTTACAGAGTAAACCCAGAAGAAAATCCAAACAAGACCCTGTGACTCCAC